CCTGCGCTTTGTAATTGCGCTCGGCTTTGGCGCGCTCGTTGGCGCGCTCGTCGGCAGCATCGCGCTTGTCTACTTGCACGCCACGTACCCCGACGACGTGCTGGTGGCCCACCCGTTCACGGGCGTCCTCGACATGCTCGCGTACGACTTCCAGACTTCAGACGCTTCTGCGACGCTTATCGCCCTCGGCGCCGCGCTCGTTTCGGCGCTCGGCGGCGTCTGGTTCTGCCTCCGCACGTCGCTCGTGCACGGCTTGTTCCTCCACGGCCTCGGGCTCTGCGGCCTCTCGCTCACGTCTCTCTACGTGGCCGTCGTCCCCGAGATGGCGGTGCGCTGGTCCATGGCGCCGCTCGCTGTCTCGTCCGAGCTTCTCGGTACGTCCTTCTGCTTGACGCATGGCCAATGGCGATGATGATGCTGGTAGAGTACAAGCTCGCGATTGTCAGTGGCATCGCATGCGTCGCACTCCTCATTTTGCACGCGCTCCTCGTCTTGCTCGTGCGTCCGTAAAGCAACTAGACTAGAAGCGTCCGTAGAGCTGCCAATTTTGAGACCACTTGAATATTGCCGAAGCGTCCCTCTGTGTACCTCTAGACAAGCTGGATCTCATGGTCTCGAGCGTCATGGATCGAGCACTCTGCCGTCGCCCTGCCTGTCGTGCGATCACATGCGAGTGTTCAATGAGGAAATAGATAAAGCGCAAGTACTACGCTGCACATAGCGAGCTACGCAGTCTTGGTCGGAGCCTTGCGAGCGAGGTAACCATTCTGAGCGACCGCCGCCACGGGCTTGCACGACGACAGCTCGTACGGGAGCACCGGGGCACTCACGGAGCGGACGAGACGGCGACTCACCACCGCCTCTGCGGCCGCGATCTCGAGGCGCGCGGTAGTGACACCAGCCATGTCCGCTGCAAGCTTCTCCTGCAAGGCGACGACCTTCTTCTTCGTCGCCAGGCCCTTCTCAACCAGGAGGAGCATCATGGGCTTCCACATGCAGACGAGGAAGAGGAGGAAGATGAGGTGGAAGAGACTGAGGAAGAGCAAGAGGAGGCCGAGGAAGAGCAAGAGGCCGGTCGTAGCCGTGTGGAGATCATCCAGCATCATCTTGTCTTGATGGCGTTTTCGGAAATTCTTGGCGGTTACACTGTTTTTCAATTAAATACTTTTGTCATATTATGTATTCTTTTATTATGTAGTTTCAATTCACAATACAAAAATACAGTACAAAGTACTATTTATTTTATAACGACATCACGCGCTCGCATGCGAACTGCGTGTTTTTAGTCACGAGCCTGCATATCTCACCGTGGTTTTTCCAGCTCTGATTTTCACTTCAATCTACTTTAATTAGGTAGGTGTGAAAATCGTGGTATTAGTGCAGAATGTGTGAAATGCCGTGATTGGGTCGCTCGCTATGACTGCGAGGTGGCATTGTCGAGTTTGCACCATGACCGCTGCTGGCTTGCAACGCGCTGCCGGCGGCCTCGCGCTTCTGGCGACGGGAGCCGCCATCGGCGTTTTGTCTGAGCGCACCCAAAAGCAGCTTTCGCAGCCGGCATCGACGCCGGACGAGGTCGTGACCATCCTCGGCGCGATCGGCAACACCCCGTTGCTCGAGATCCCGTCGCTTTCCAAGCTCACGGGCTGCC